GGGGGGGGCAAGCTCTGCGCTGTATAGGGGACATGGGGGTGCGTGAGGGGGGTAAACCCTCCTGGGAATGTATAGGGGACATGGGGGTGTGTGAGGGGGGTAAACCCTTATAGGGGACATGGGGGTGCGTGAGGAGGGTGCATTCCTCCTGGGAATGTATAGGGGACATGGGGGTGCGTGAGGAGGGTGCATTCCTCCTGGGAATGTATAGGGGACATGGGGGTGTGTGAGGGGGGTGCATTCCTCCTGGGAATGTATAGGGGACATGGGGGTGTGTGAGGGGGGTGCATTCCTCCTGGGAATGTATAGGGGACATGGGGGTGTGTGAGGGGGGTGCATTCCTCCTGGGAATGTATAGGGGACATGGGGGGTGCAAGCCCTGGACTGTATAGGGGACATTGGGGTGCAGGGTCTCCTGGGACCACGGGTGGGACGTGGGGTACATGTTCTCCCAGGACCATGGGTGGGATGGTCCCCACTGGGCCCTTGGGTGTGATTTGGGATGTGTGGTCTCCTCATCCCCCGTGGTGCTGGTGTGGGGGTCTGTCCTCTCTGCCTCTGTTCCCATGTCAAGAGTCGCGGGGGGGTGGGCGCTGGCCTGGGCCTGCCGTGGCCGTGGGGGAGGTGGGTGCAGGCTCTAGGTGTGTGGGGGGGGCTGGTGCTTCACCCAGTCCCCTCCATTCCCCACCTTTCCCAAGACTTCACACCCCACTCTGCTTCCCACAGGCCCACTGCCTACGGAAGAGGGGACACCTCTGTGGATGAGGAGACATCTCCGTGCAAGAAGGGACATCTCCGCAGAAGAGGAGACAAAAAGCTCTGGAGCAAGCAGCCATCTTGGCTGTAAACTTTTAGCCATCCTCCCCCTGAGGGAGGCCGGCCCCAGCTTCCTCCTCCTGCCTCGGGCAGCCCTTATAACCCTTCTCTTGCCGGTGCTGGCACAGAGGAACATTCCTTGGTCCTACCACAAGCCCCTGCTGGTGCCGTGATGGTGGGAGGTGAAGGCCAGCGGGGTGACACCTCGTTTTGTTCCCGGTTTTTCCGAGCGCTGGCCCGACTGGGGAGCAGGAAGGAGAAGCAGAAGGGCGGTCTTCTCACCTCACAAGCCGGGATGCTTATCCAGGAGAATGGTTGCAAGCCCTGGGTGGAAGATGCTGTGCCCCGAGAGGAACTTGCTGGAATCTGCCAGACCCAGCACCCTGGTAGAAGTAGGGGGCAGTTGCTGTGGCACAAGGCACAGCTGAAAAATGGCAGTAAGAAGCTCCAGGCTTTTCAAAGAAGTGAGGAGAGACAATGTCCTGAAATGCCAGCACATGCTGCTGAGAGATGCACCAAGCCAAAGAGAAGAGCACCAGCACCACCAGAGCTGCCAAGGACCTGCGAAAAAGTCACCGGAGGTGGAGAAGCCCAGCAGGAAGAGCAGGTGGCCTTGGTGACAGCGTTCAACATCCTCAACATGGACCCATGTGTCAAGGAAGATGGTCAGAAAGAGCTGATTGTCAGGCATGATGCACAGGGTGGGGAGGTGCTGAGGGAATGTGGTGGCCACAGGGATGAGATGAGTCAAACTCATCTTCTGGTTGAGGAGGGAAGGACCACAGGCTCACCCCAGAGCCTTGGGTTGTGGGTGGAGGACAAGGATGCTGCCACCACCCCTCGAGGGGAAGGGCAGGACTTTAACTGTCCCTCAGGAGAGGGAAGGGATGGGGAGGTGCTAAGGGGAGGTGGTAGCCACGGGGATGAGGTGGGACAAACTCAACTCCTGGATAAGGAGGGAAGGACCACAGGCTTAGCCCGAAGCCTTGGGTTGTGGATGGAGGACAAGGATGCTGCCATCACCCCTCGAGGGAACGGGCAGGACTTTAACTCTCCAGAGGGAAGATCTGGGGAGGAGCGGAAAAGGCAAGTGTGGGAGAAGCTTTATCACCTGGGAGAGGACACGGCAAGGGGGGGAGAGAGGTCCACAAGGGACCTGGCAGTCAGGCTAACTGAAACCAAAACATACCCTACAGAGACAGGGAACAAGAGCGACTGCCTGAAGCAGGGGGAGGGGGGAACAAGATCCAAGGTGGGCAGCTTTGAGGTGGTGGATGCTTTGATGGATACCCATGCAGATGTCACCAAGATGGTGTACTTTGCTGTGGTCCACAATGTCCCTGTCTCCGTTGGTGGGGATCAGCACCTCCCCACCATACCAGAGCCATTTGAGAACGAGCAGATCTGGGACGACCCTGATAACCACCTCCTTGATTCTTATGACTTTCTCTATGATGATAATGACCTCCTGGATGATGATGATGATGATGACCTCCTGGAGCAGGGAAGTCCACCAGCTATGCCTACGGTGCAGATCTGTTGTGCCAGTGTGGCCAGGGATGAAGAGTGGTGGAAGAAGAAATTCCCAGGCGTGTGGGCGCAATCTAAGATGGACTGCGGGCTGGTGTTGGGGGAGGTGAAGGTGACAGAGAGCTTCCAAAGGCAACCCCCACTTTCAGCAGATGATGAAGAGGCAGTGGAGAGTGACCTGCAGGAACTGCTGAAGGAAGGCGTGGTGGTGAAAGGTTCCTCTGTCCACAACAGCCGTTTAAAACTCACCCGAAAGCACGGGAAAACCCGCCTGGTGCTGGATTGCAAAGTTTTCGGCAAGGCCACCAGCAAGCCAGTGTCTCTGGACAAGACCAAGCTCATCACAACCCTCAGTCCTGAGAGCAGGTACTTCTCAGTGGTGGATCTATCCCGTGCCTCCTTCGCCATTCCTTTGGAGGCAAGCTCCAGAGCCAAGTTTGCCTTCACCTTCAAGGATCAGCAGTACTTCTTCACCCGCCTGCCCCCGGGCTTCCAGGGCACCAACTCCATTGTGCACCAGCGGGTGGATCAGATGTTGTCTCAGTTGGCCCCAGAAGACAGAGCTTGGGTTATCTCCTACGTTGATGACATCCTCATCGCTGGGAGACACAGATTGGAAACCAGAGACCGGACGATCAGAGTCCTGGAGCTGATCCAAAAAACGGGGTTTAAAGCCAAGTTTGAGAAGGCACAGCTTGTCTATCCCAAGGTGGACTACCTGGGGATAACCATTGGGCCTCAGGGGCGAGAGATCCAGGCTAGCAAGCTGGAGGCCATCCTCAAGGCCTCCCCACGGAATGCCAAAGATCTCCTATCCCTGCTCGGGAAGTTCTTGCAAGATTACATCCCTGGTTACTGGGAGCTGGCTTGGCCACTCCATCTGCTTGCCACAGGGCAAACCAGATGGAGCTGGGGACCGAAGCAGGAACAGGAGCTGAAACGCCTGAAAGATGCTCTACAGGCTGCTCCCGCCCTGCGATTTCCAAATAAATCCCAGCCCTTCGTGATCAGGTTAATGATCCGCAGACGGGTGATAGGAGCCACCTTGCTGCAGGAGGACCATCACGGATGTCTGGTTCCAGTGGGACACACCTCCTGCATGCTGAAGAAGCACCAGATCTCCTACCTGGTGCAGGAGAAGGAGTGCTTGGCAGCCATCGAGGCCATGAAGAAGTTTGAGACCCTCATTGAGATGGCCCCCATCCTGATAGAGATACCCCATTCCCCTTGGAAGTATCTCGTAAGGGGCAAACTGTTGCTGTTGAACCAGCACCCAGGGCAGTGGAGTCTGCTACTGGTTAACAGGGGGGTGATGGCCAGGGGACCTCAGCCCGCGCTGGGGCAATCTCCCGACCCCCCGATCTGTGTTGCTCCCCCCCTCCAGCAACTGTCCAGCTGCGTCCCCAAGGCCGACATCTGGTTCACGGGTAGCAAGCAGATCGGTTCCGTTACCTACGCTGCCGTCAACTTAGAAGAGCGCTGGCTCCTCGGGGTGGCCAACGTTCGCTATGTGCCATATGCTGAGGTGGTGGCCCTCCAGCAGCTCCTGGACCGCCACCACTGCTCCTCACCTCTCTACTTCTACACCAGCCGCCGGTCCTTGATGAGGAGGTTCCAACGTGACATTGACGAGTGGCAATGGGGAGAGTGTGCAAGCTCCAGCCAGGATGTGTGGCCAAGCATCCTGCAGTGGGTCCACAAGAACCCTGGGATCCTGCACGTCAGATTTGTAGGAGGAAGCCAGGACCCGGAGGAGACGAGATGGAACAAGGAAGCCCACAGAAGGGCTGGGGTCCTATCTGATGACAATATCTTGAAGAGTGGGTGCTTTTGGGAGCCTTCCAAGCACGAGAAGCAAGAAATTGTGGCCCAGTGTCACAGCTGGTGTCACGAGGGGGTGGACGAGACATTCATCAGGATGTTGCAGGTTGCACCATGGGGAAATAGCTACAAGCAGGTGGCTCGTTGGGTGCAGAGGTGCCTGAAGTGCAGGGAGGGAGAGGGCAAGGTCCCACCGCAGCGGGTGGAGGGACCGTGGTCGCTGCTCCAGTTAGAATGCATCAGTAACCTTCCCAAGACCCCAGAGGGACACTGCTCCCTCTTGGTGGTGGCGGATGAGTTTTCAGGATGGGTGGAAGCCTTCCCCATGCGGGGAAGCACGGTGACAGAGGCGGCCAAGGTGCTCCAGGAGTTTTTTGCCCAATATGGGACACCTCGTGCAGTCCGCTTGCTGCATGTGCCCCGTTTCCTCCAGGATACCATGGAGCAGGTGAGAGTCAGAACCGATGTGGAAGTCCTGCAGCCTGGCCAGGCTGGATCTGTCACGGCATCCCTGGAACAGTTGGTCCGAGGGGCCGGCAAGGAGTGGGCAAAGGTGCTCCCTCTGCTTCTGGGGTGGCTCCGATCCGTACGGGTGCAGCCAGCAGCGCTCAGCTCTTTGCAGATTATCCCTGGCATCCCGTTGGAGGTGTGGGAACACAGTGATAAGCACCCCCCCCAGGACAACGTTCTCCACTGGCTCAGCGAGCTGCAGAAGGATGAGACCGGCTACAAGCATCGGATCAAAGCAGCTTCTTCCTGAGGGACTGCCCAGATTGGGATGCTCTGTAGCCTCCATGCCCTCCCACATCCTCCTGGTGTGGGGGGAATGGGTTTACTTGGCTTACCTGGGGGGGCTTTTGTGCAGGACTGAGGGGGCTTTTGGGCAGGATTGGGGAGTCTTTAGGACTGGAGGATCTTTGGGCAAGATTGGAGAACTTTTAGGTAGGACTGAAGGGTGGGTTAGTACTGGGGGGCTTTTAGGTGGGACTATGGGGGCTTTTAGGCAGGGTTGGGAAGTTTAGAACTGGGGGGCTTTTAAGCAGGATTAGAGTGATTTTAGGCAGGATTTGTGAGCTTTTAGGGAAGACTAAGTGCACAAGCTCTTGCTACGATGTTCAAGGATGGGGAGGGAAGATGAGTATACTGCTTTTGACTGGGATGGAGCTGATTTTCTTTGTAGCCATCCAGCACAGCACTGGGCTCCAGCTGTAGCCCCAGCAGTACCAAGAGTACTGGGAGGGTGTTGCCATCCCCAGTCTCGTTGGGCTTGGGGACAGCTAAGCCAGCTCAGGGCCTTGGGAGATAGTGAGCAGTGGCCTTGGCATAATTTGCTATAATTTCTGTTTTCCTCTTTTTCCATTTATCTTTCATGTATTAAATGTTTGTGGTTTTTTTATCTTGACCCACAAGTTTTCTTGATTTTTCTCTTCCTTTCTTTACTGGGTCTGGCTGGGTTAGGGTTAAATTTCTCTTCAGCAGCTTGTGTTTTGGGTTTGGGCTTCCAACAGTGTTGATAAGGGAGAAATTTAAACTGACAAGGTCTTATCTGCTTCTCCCACACATCAAGGTTCAACAGTCTGCAGGAGTGCTGGAGGAGAGAGGGGTCACCTGTATCCAACCCCCAAGTCTCCACCCCCCTTAGTGACCTCCCAGTGGTCTGGTGCTCCTCAGGGTCTTCTTGCACCTTGAACCCTGGGGTCAGTTTTGGGACCTTCACAATCAGAAGGACATTGAGGGTCTGGAGCGTGTCCAGAGAAGGGCAGTGGAGCTGGGGAAGGGTCTGGAGCACAAGTCTGATGAGGAGCAGCTGAGGGAACTGGGGGTGTTCAGCCTGGAGAAAAGGAGGCTGAGGGGAGACCTTCTTGCTCTCTGCAGCTGCCTGAAAGGAGGTTGGAATGAGGGGGGGTTGATCTCCCAAGGAACAAGTGATTGGGCAAGAGAAAATGGGTTCAAGTTGTGCCAAGGGAGGTTTAGATTGGATATTGAGAACAATTTCTTCAAGGGTTGTCAGGCCTGGCCCAGGCTGCCCAGGGCAGTGGTGGAGTCCCCATCCCTGGAGGGATTTCAAAGCCCTGTAGCTGTGGTGCTGAGGGACATGGTTTAGTGGTGGCCTTGGCAGTGCTGGGGTAACGGTTAGACTAGATGATCTTAAAGGTCTTTTCCAACCAGAACTTTTTATGATTCAAAGGTTATGGGTCTGTATCCTTCTCCATCCCTCCTGATGGCTCTCAGGTTGTAGCTCTCCAGGCCCTTTTGCTATTTGAAGTAATAGAAAACACTTGGATTGGAAAGGGCCCTTAAGATCATCGAGTCCAACCACTGAATCAAATGAAGGATGATCACAAGCCCTGGGGCTGCACAGACCCTGAGACCCCCAAGCTGTGGTCTGTGAGCTGGCTGAAGCCAGAGGAGCAGGGAAGTTGGAGCTGTGGGCTCACCTGGGGACCCTCGAACAACAGATCTGCACTTGACTGCAGGATCTGAGGCATGGCAGGTAGCCCAGGGGCTGGTAGCCCAGGGACTCATGGCAGAGACCCTTCTGCCACTCCAGCAGAAATATATTTAGTGCTTCTGAGGTGAGCTGGCAGCCTGAATGTTGAGTCAGCAGGGACACAAGGGTGACTGCGGTGATGGTTTGGCACCAGCGTTTCTCTGGCTGATAGATCCCATAGGGAAACAGCCATGAAAATAGCTGGAGCCAAAGGAAACTGGGATGGGCTGGGTTGGACATCTCTGGATGGGCTCCACTAGCTGTGAGTCATCAGGGGTGGTCTGAGGGAAGAGCAGGCACAAGGATGAGGATGGTGAGGAGGAGACCCCGGTTGCTGGCAAGCATCTGGCAGTGTGAACCCCCAAAATAAGTTGGGGATGTGGAAGGACACAACCACGGGGAGAACATCACTTGTGGGGCTCTGGGGGTTCAACATTCACGGTGATACTTGGTGTGTTTTCAGGCATAACGTGGTGGGGAAAGTTTGGGATGGAGCAGAGAGGCCCCAGAAATGCTCCAAGAAATGCTCCAAGGGGGTGGCTGCAGGACCCAGAAACATGCAGTGTGGATGTCTGGGTGAGGAGGGGAAGGCAGTCGCTGGGTGTGGGATATTACGGAAAATACACCCCAGATGGGAGGGACAGACCTGGGTGGGCGAGAGCAGGGGCTGTTGCAGGAAGGGGCGGGGAAGCAGCCTAACACAAGGCCTTGGTGGGGACGGGCCACCCATGTTCCTGCCCCACGTCCAGGGACAACACCCAGGACCCCAGCCCCACCTCCCAACGTGCCTACCCCAGAGGCATGTACCCGACTTCCCAATCCTGACCTCAGCCCCTCATCTCCCTGAGCCAGACTCCTGATCCACGCTGCCCTTGGACCCCATTTCTGGACCAGGACCCCTCTCCCTGGAGCAGAACCCTTCTCCCCAGGCCAGGACCCCCTTTTCCAAACCAGGACCTTCCTGGACCAGCACCCCTTTCCCCAGCCCCTCCCAAACCCGAGCCAGCCCGGCCTTGGGCACGACGTGGGACATTTGTTAGTCATTAGGGCTGGAGGGAAGGTGGGCGGGCGCGGGACCAGCCTTTCTCCTCCAGCACGTAGATCCCATCCCCTCGGCCTCCGGGGGCACCGTCCAGCCTGGCCCGGGTCGCCCATCCCCCTCCCACCCGGCCAGAAGC